ACATTGAGAAACACCCACGACAGACCCATCCCAACCCGGGAACAGTGGGCAGTCTGGGTGAGGAGTCAGCAGGGCCAGGTCACTGGGCTGCTTATGTAACCGCCCGGGCGTGACCTTCATCGGGGGTGCCTGTGTGGGCTCGGCACACGTGTGTGGACACAAAGACAGCGTGCCGAGGCCACAGCTACATACAACCCTTTTTTTTTTTTTTCCTGGCAATTTCATGCAACAAATTGTCTTTATTCGTCCTAAGCAAACTCAGTCATACACACAAATTGCATGAATTTTTAAAGGGAAAAAAAAAAAAAAGACATTATGGACATGCCAGCTGGCACACCCAGAAGAGGCAGTGAGAAGAAAACAGATGTGAGCTGGGAGCCGGCTGGTGTGGCTCAGGGGTTGAGCAGTGACCTAGGAGCCAGGAGGTCAGGGTTCGATTCCCAGTCAGGACACATGCCCGGGGTGCGGGCTCCATCCTCTGTGAGGGGTGTGCAGGAGGCAGCTGATCAGTGTTCTCCCTCACGATGTTCTTCCCCTTCCCTGGCAGCGCTTCCTAAATGTATCACACGTAGGAAATAAAAGATGAAATAAAGAGGGGACAGGAGACCGGGAGGCCAGGACACAGGCTGCTTCCAGAGACAGAGAGCGTAAGAGAGTGAGGGCAGGGGTACGAGCACCTTTAAGGGGAGGGCAGAGAGGGGACGGGGCTTAGGGCACTCCGCACAGGCTGATGGGTGGTTTCATGAAAGGCCTATGATTAGGGACCTGGGGACTTAGGAATCGGGGGCTTAGGGTGTTTGGCAGGTGCTGATGGGTGGTTCAGTGCTCAGGAATGTCTGGCTGCAGGAGGGGTTTATGTCTGTCCATCAACTGGAGAAAGGGAGGATCTATCAGGAAACTGATCACAGTGATGGATGTGCCCATGGGCCAGGGTGGGCCTGAGCTCTCACACTTCTATCTGTGTGTGTGTGTGTGTGTGTATACATGTGCATACATGTATGTACATGTCTACACATGAACACATAGATAAATGTACCTGTGTGTGTTCTCACATATAATTCTACATGTATAAGCTATGTGTGTTGGGTTTTGGTAGTTATCTGTTTAGTTATATAGTTTAAAATTTTTTTATATTTTTATTGATTTCTGAGAGGAAGGGAGAGGGAGTGATAGAAACATCAGTGATGAGAGAGAATCATGGGTCAGCTGCCTCCTGCACAGCCTCCTCCTGGGGACGGAGCCCGCAACCCGGGCCTGTGCCCTTGACCGGGAATCCAACCAGGACCTCCTGGTTCCTAGGTCGACGCTCCACTAACTGAGCCAGGCAAAAAGCAGGGCAATGTCTTACTTCCGAAGACCCGCTTCTGTGAGCGCGTGGATCTCACTGAATCTGCTCATTGACCTCAGCTGAGCGTGGTAACCCTTCTCTGCTGCCATAGAAGTCAGTCCCACAAGGCTCCGTGGCTCATCCCAGGCCACGGAGAAACCGCAAGGTGGACTTGGCCCCGCCTCTCCCACCCCCAGGCGGCCTTCCCCTCGCGGGGGAAGGTCTTGTTGATGTTTTGGGGCTCTGGGCACAGTTCAAAGCAGAAATAAAAAACACAAACATGGTGTCATCTTCCGAGGGGCGCACCCTGCCAGCGAGAAGGTGGACGAGAAGTTAAAAATTAAGCAGCCAAGCCAGAGCCGGGCTCCCGCCTGCGGCCGCGGGCCACCCACATGGTCGTGTTTGCCGTTGTGAAGCGGCAGGGCTGCTGGGAAGGGGAGAAGGGCCGGCGACTCCAAGGCCGCCCGCGGGGGAGTGAGGGCTCAGCAGACGGGTTTGATGGTGAAGGTAAGCGCTTCCCCGCTCCCCGGGGCTGCAGGAACCAGCCCTGCTCCGGGGCCCGAGAGGGAGGGCGTGGGTTGAGGGGAAGTCAGAGAAAGAACCCCAAACAGCAGCCGCAGGGCCTCCCTCTGGGGACGGCTCCGAGTTGCACAAGGAAGAGACTTTCTGAACAAGGTGGCCAAGGAGTTTCCAGTGTGCTCAGTGGATAGAGCATTGGTCGGTTCCTTCCCTCTCCCCCACCCCCCACCAGACGGAAGGGTCCCAGGTTCGATTCGGGTCAAGTGCATGTACCTGGGCATGCAGGAGGCAGCCCATCGATGTGTGTGTCTCTCTCTCCCTCTCCCTTCCACTCTCTCTAGAAATCAATGGGGGGGAAAAAGATCCCGGGGTGAGGATCGACTTTAGAAAATCGGAAAAGGTGAAAGGGGGCCACCAGGCGCGGGGACACGGGGCGAGGGGGGCCCCTCCGAGGAGCCCTGGGTGCTCACCGGGACGCCGGGGCCTGTGGACGGGCTTCAGCTGCGGAGTGAAACCTGGGTCCCAGCTAACAAGGTCTGGGCCGGGGCCTGGGATGGATGCGTCTGCAGGTCTCTCTGTGGGTTTGAAATGATCTCCCAGGGCCAGAGAACAGGACAGAGAGCAGGAACGAAGATGTGAGGTTGGAAGCAGGAGAACGTGGGTGCTTGTAGGGAGGCCTGGTCTGGGAGCTGAGGGTGCTGTCCGGAGAGGCCGAGGCAGGGACCCAGGGAAGGGACCTGAAGGACAGCACAGCGGGGCTCACATTGGCCTGGACGACGGCGCCCCAGGCTGCCACTCAGGAGAGGAGCCTGAGCTTCTGTCCCCCTCCCCACCCCCCACACCAGGGGTTTAGGTCCAATCGCACCTTTCGTTGTTGTTAATCCTCCCTTGAGACTATTTTCCACTCATTTTTCAGAGCGTGGAAGAGAGAGAGACAGAGAGAAACACATCGATTGGTTGCCCCCTGCACAAGCCCCGACCAGGGCACAGGCCGGGGAGGAGCCTGTAACGGAGGGACGTGCTCTCGACTGGACTCGAACCCGGGACCCTGTAGCCTGCAGGCCGGCGCTCCATCCACTGAGCCAAACTGGGCAGGGCCAGCTGCGCCTTAGTTGTGGCTTAACCCTGCCTCCCGGGGCTGCCCACGCTTGCTGCTCAGGACACGTTTTTCTTCGTGGTTGAATTCATACATGAACCCGTGCCATGATCGGTGGCATGATCGGAATCACCTGCCGGGAAGCCAACTTCACTTAGAACCACCCGCCTCCCGAAAGGTGGGTGGGGGCACCAACCCGGAGCTTATTCCCTGACGTTTGTGCCCAGTGCCAGTGGCGTCCCGTTCTCACCCACCGTGGGGACTCTCCCGCACAAGAGCCCACTTTTATTGATTTTCCACAGAGAGGAAGGGAGAGGGATAGAGAGCTAGAACGTCGATGAGAGAGAAACATCGGCCAATTGCCTCCTGCACACCCCCTACCGGGGATGTGCCCACAACCAATGCCCTTGACCGGAATCGAACCCGGGACCTTTCAGTCCGCAGACCGACGCTCTATCCACTGAGCCAAACCGGTTTCGGCTGAGCCCACTTTTAAAAGGAACATGTGAGCCCAGCCGGACTGGCTCCATGGATGGCACATCAGCCTGAGGACTGAAGGGTCCCGGGTTCGATTCTGGTCAAGAGCACATGCCTGACCCCCCTGGCCCTGGTCAGGGCTCTTGTGGGAGGCAATCAATCGATGTGTCCCTCTCTGTCTCCCCGCCCTTCCATTCTCTCTAAAAACCTATGGGAAAATATCCTTGGGTGAGGATTTACAGGGAGGGAGGGAAGGAGAGAGGGAGGGAGGGAGGGAGGGAGGAAAAGAGCAAAGGAGGAAAGGAGGGAGGAAGGGAGGGAGGGAAGGAGGGAGGGAGGGAGGGAGGGGGGAGGGAGGGAGGGAGGGAAGGAGGGAGGGAGGGAGGGAGAGCGGGAGGGAGGGAGAGAGAGCGGGAGGGAGGAAAAGTTTAAGGCCAGTTGAACCGTCAGAAGCACATTTACAGTAATGTGTGTCCGCCGGGAGCCTCCGTGCAGTAACTGCGAGCCCGGGGCCCACGCTTGGGACTGTCGGTCCTCACCGCCGCTGAGCATGGATCGCACGCCACGCCTGTGCTGTCCTCGGGGAGAAACAGGGTATCAACCTTTTTAGTGTGCGGCCTTCTCCGGAAACCGGACTCTGAGTGGGCCCTGAACCTCGCGGCCGTGTGAAGGGATCCCACAGGGAAGCAGGCACGTCCCACACCTTCCTTCCGCCTCGCGAGCCCCTGCTTCCGAGGAGAGAGTGCAAAGGCCTGGGCGTCCGGAGCCTGCGCTGCCCTTGTCCGGCCTGGTTCCCGTGGGGCTGGCAGGCCTGGGTCCCCGGCCCTGCGGCCTGCCCCTCCCACCCTTTAGCCACGTTGGCATTTACCCTGAGCAAACGAGGAGGCTGGCCAACAGGGTGACGCAAGGCAGGCTGCGTGTTAGGGGCCACCTGAGGGCAGTAAGAGACGGTGACAGGAAGTGGGCAGGGCTGCCCACGTGGCTCAGGGGCTGAGCGCCGACCTAGGAAGCGGGAGGTCAGGGTTCGATCCCGGTCAAGGGCACAGGCCTGGGTTGCGGGCTCGATCCCCAGTAGGGGGCGTGCAGGAGGCAGCCGATCCATGTTTCTCGTCGTGGATGTTTCTGTCTCTCTCCCCCTTTCCCTTCCTCTCTGAAATCAATAAAAACGTATTTTAAAATAACAATGAGCCGAAACCAGTTTGGCTCAGTGGAAAGAGCTTCGGCCTGTGGACTGAAAGGTCCCAGGTTCGATTCCGGTCAAGGGCATGTATCTTGGTTGCGGGCACGTCCCCAGTAGGGGGTGTTCGGGAGGCAGCTGATGGATGTTTCTCTCTCATCAACGTTTCTAGCTCTCTATCCTTCTCTCTTCCTCTCTGTAAAAAAAAATTAATAAAAAATATATTTTTTAAAATAACAAAACAAGGGCTTGCTGATGGGGAGAGCGGGCACGGGAACGGAGAGCGTGACCGTGGGCCCTGCGTTGGGTTGTTCTCCCCTAGACCGGAGCCTGTCGCCGGGAAAGAGACTCAGGGCCGGGGCGCCTCTGCCCCCACGTGCGGAGCCATTTCCCCGAGGAGCCCCATGGAGAAGCCATCCCCCAGGAGAGGTACCGCCGCCTGCCGCGCTGGCCGCCACGGGCAACGGCAGGGGGAGTCCCGTGTCCCTGCACCTCCTCGCTCTGCGCCCCTCCTCCTCCTCCTCCCATCACGCCCTCACTGCCGCCGCGGCTCTCGGTGGAGAGTGGACCCGCTCCAGCCCCTCATCCTGCCGCCGCTGTGGCTTCTTCCTAGGCAGCCCCACTGAGTTATGGGTCAGAAATTAAGCCAAGCGGTCAGCGAGTCCTGGGACCTAAGGAATGGAATGAGCCTTGAAAAAGTCATTTTAGCCGAAACCAGTGTGGCTCAGGGTCGGCCTGGGGACTGAAGGGTCCCGGGTCCGATTCCAGTCGGGGGCATGTACCTTGGTTGGGGGCGTGTGTGCAGAAATATTTACCCTCGGCTACGTTAAAAAAAAAAAAAAAAAAAAAAGACCCTGGGTTGGGTAGAGCCTCGACCTGACCCCCCACGGTGGCCGGTTCGATCCCCCGTCAGGGCCCACGCAGGAGCCAGCCTGTGAGGGTGTTGGTAAGTGTCCCAGCAGATCGAAGTTTCCCTCTCGCTAAAAAGAAATTTAAAAAAAAAATACTCACAAAAGAAGATCCTGGGTGTGCGACTAGCTTCATTCACAGGCAGCCGGCTGTCTAGAAGAAACTTGCAAGGTTTTTTGGGTAAATGAATTCGCAAACCGGATGGGGTCTGGCTGGCAGCTGGGAGAAATGAGGGGGGGGGGCGTTGGCTCTGCCTCCACCTCCCCCATCTCTCGGTTTGGGAACTAGGGGCGATCAGTGCCCTCCTGAGCTCCTTCCAGCTGATCACCTGCTTCTCCTTGTGGCTTTGCTGGACGAGGGGATCCCAGATTCACGGTCCGCAGCCGGCTACAGGGCCGGGCCGAGGGGGCTGCTGCCTGGTGGTTTTAGGGAAAAGAGAGAGCGTGTCCCAATTAGGCCCCGATTGATTGATTATCTGTCTAGACTCAGTGGGACAAACGCAGGTGACCGGGAGGCAGCAATCACGGCCTCTCCCCTGGTGCTTCAATGTCTACACAGCTGAGAGGAGCGGGAACACATGACACACAGACAGAAGGAGTGTGCGATCACACAGGGTTTACTTACCGATTCCCAGTGGGTCCTGGGCTCCGGCAAAGGCCACCGGGATGCACACTGAAGGACGGACGATGAAAACAGACAGGCAGGCGGCCGCGGTTGGTTCAGGCTCACACAGCAGAGCAGTCAAGGGCTTGTCTCTCGGAGCGACAAGCCCTTGACTCCTCTTTCGGGCAGGAGACCACAACTGAAGGTTACATGGGCCGTGGTAACCAGCTGTGTCCTCATCAGTGTGGGCCAGACGGTGAGCCTTATGCTCGGAGCAGAGCGTTTACACTTTAAGGGTGCAGAGCTTCTACATAAGGTGACCAGATGTCCGGCTTTAGGCGGGACAGTCCCAATTGTTAACAATTTGTCCCACACCCTGCGGCATTTAAAAAAAAAAAAAAAAAAAGTCCCGATTTTTGGAAAGAATCTTTCCAAAAGGGTGTTCATTAATTTTGGAAATCACAGAGTATTGGGGGTTTCCACACAGCAAACAGTTCACACAATAATTAGAGGGGTTACATTATGATATATAACAGAGGGGGACCGAGGTGTTTTGTTGTTGTTTTTTTTTTAAATATATTTCTGTTGACTTCAGAGAGGAAGGGAGAGGGAGAGAAAGAGAGAGAAACATCAAGGAAGAAAGAGCATCATGGATCCGCTGCCTCCTGCAAGCCCCCAACTCGGGGTGGAGCCCGAACCCCAGGCCTGCGCCCTGACCGGGAATCGAACCGTGACCTCCCAGTTCCTAGGTCGATGCTCACCCGCTGACCCACGGCGGCCGGGCCCGCGGGGTGTTTCTCACGGGGAGGAGCGACGGCCGCCAGGAGTCCCCCACTCTCTCCCGTCCTCCCCAGGCCCGGGCCTCTGCTCCCTGCGCTACGGGCTGGCCGTGGTCATGCACCTCTCCAACCTCAGCATGATCACTCAGCGGGTGGGCCTCAGCATCGCCATCATCGCCATGGTCAACGGCACACAGCAGCCCGCCCCGGCCAACGCCTCCGCGGACCGCCCTGCCGCCGGCCCCCTGCAGCCCCCCCTCGGGCCCCCCGGGGAACTCCACGCAGGGGTGAGCGGGGCGGAGCGCGGGACGGAGAGCGGGACGGAGCGCGGCCTCTGTCGGGAGGGAATCCCAGGGGGGAGGGAAGGCTTCGACCTCAGTTCTGTGGATGGAGAAGCATGGACTTCCTTTTTATTTTATTTTTTTATTTTTTAAACATATTTTATTGATTTCTTACAGAGAGGAAGGGAGAGGGATAGAGCGTCAGAAACATCGATGAGAGAGAAACATCCATCAGATGCCTCTTGCACACCCCCTACTGGGGACATGCCCTTGACCGGAATCGAACCTGGGACCCTTCAGTCCACAGGCCGACGCTCTATCCACTGAACCAAACCGGTCTCGGCTATTTTTATTTTTTAAATATATTTTGGTTGATTTCAGAGAGAGAGGGATGGGGAGGGAGAGGGAAACTGGGCCGTTGTTCACTGTAAGTGGACGGGATTTTATAGTCACGCTGTTTGGTCCTGTGCCTCCATTTCATGCCGGATGCGTCCTGTCTGGCAGGCCACCACCAGCTATCCGTGGGGTCACCGAGGCTCCTGGACTCGGTGTTGGGGCCTGAGCGGGGGGAGAGCCCAGGAATGCTGCGTCTCCCTTATTCGTTGCCAGGAGGGGACACGTGCCACCCAACTTTGACCAGAAGCAAACAGTTCAGGGGAGTTCTTGTGCCGATGAAATCTCTCGCTGTCTCCTTCACTGACCCTCCCGTTCTTCACCTCTTTTCTCCTCTGCGTCCTCTATCTTCCTTCCTCGGAGAGGAACAAAGCAGGGTTCTACGCCCTAACCCCGTGGTCGGCAAACTATGGCTCTTTGGCCCCTTGAGGGTGGCTCTTCCACAAAATACCACGGCCTGGGCGAGTCTATGTTGAAGAAGTGGCGTTAGAAGAAGTTTAAGTTTAAAAAATGTGGCTCTCCAAAGAAATGTCCTTCGTTGTCCTGTTGGTATTTGGCTCTGTGGACTAATGAGTTGCCGACCACTGCCCTAACCGGTTCAGCTCAGTGGCTAGAGCATTGGCCTGCAGACTAAAGGGTCCCAGGTTCGATTCCGGTCAAAGGCACCTGCCCGGGTTGCAGGCTTGATCTCCAGTAGGGGGCGTGCAAGAGGCAGCCAATCAACAATTCTCTCTCATCCTTGATGTTCCTCTCTCTCCCTCTCTCTTTCTCTCTGAAATCAATAAAAATACAGTAAAAAGGAAAAAAAAAAAAACTGGGCTTATCATTAGATTTTTTTTTTTTGAAATGGTGGGATATCTAAGCTAGATTTTTAAAAACAGAAAAAAGAGAGAAACCAAATGCGACCTTTCACGGGAGGTCCCACCAGCCACAAGCAGCTCTGGCTGGGACGCCCACGTGCTCAGCCACGGCTTTCCCTTCCCTCCTCTTCTTCCAGACCTCCGTGTACGCGTGGAGCCCCGAGACCCAGGGCATCCTCTTCAGCTCCATCAGCTACGGGATTCTGCTGACCCTGATCCCCAGCGGGTACCTGGCGGGGATCCTGGGCGCCAAGCACATGCTGGGGGCCGGGCTGCTGGCCTCCTCCCTGCTCAGCCTCTGCACGCCGCTGGCCGCTGACCTGGGCGTGAGCTTGGTGATCGTGATCCGCGTCGCCCAGGGCATGGCCCAGGTACCCGGGCCACTCCCCTCCCTCACCCCCGTGTGGCGTACTGGCTGGGGCGTCCCGCTGGCCGGCGGAGGCCTGAACGGTTTTCTTTCCAGGGGATGGCGTGGACAGGCCAGTTCACCATCTGGGCCAAGTGGGCGCCCCCACTGGAGCGCAGCAAGCTCACCAGCATCGCGGGCTCCGGTGAGGATCCCGGCGGGGAATCGTGGCTCCGGAGCCGCCCTCACCCTCCCTCGCCTCCCCTTGGCGGATGGGACGGTTTGGGGAAGGGGGATTAGAGTGCTCCCATCAATATCCCACCAATAATGAAAGAGAGTCACCAGCCGGCTGCCCCGCCACCCGGGCGTGTGCCCTGACCGGGAATCGAACCATGACCTCCCGGTTCCTAGGTCGATGCTCAGCCACGGAGACGCGGCGGCCGGGCTAAATTTACTGTTTCTTTGTCTAAAACGTAGACAGGCCTCCTGCTTTGGTCACTTCTTTGAATCTCATAGCTCTCTGGGCTCTTGTGTGTACAAAATTATTTATTTTTTTCCTCTCCTGGTAAAAAAATAAATAAATAAAAACAAATTCTTCTCCCAAATTCAACACCGGGAGACGGTTACGTAGAGACGAAACGCAGGAAGCTCCGCACAGAAAAGGCCACTGTGAGCGACAAGAGCACCTGGGAGGGGGGCGGGGAGCAGTGTAGACACGTCTTAGCACAGACAGACATGGGAGAACCGGCTGTGGGAACTCGGGGTGGAGAGGAGAGAAAGGCTGGACGGGGAATGGCCATGGCACTGCCTCCCACCTGGGCCATGCAGTCCCATGTGTCCATCTTTCCTCTTCGGTCCCCAACCTCCTGCTGCTCCCTGCCAGCTGGCACCTCTGGTCATAAGGAACGAAGGTGAGCCAGCCGGCGTGGCTCAGGGCTTGAGCATCAACTTGTGAACCAGGAGGTCTCGGCTCGACTCCCGCTCAGGCCCCAGGCCCGGGTGGTGGGCTCCATCCCCTGGGGGGGCATGCGGGAGGCAGCCGATCCATGACTCTCTCTCACCATGGATGCTTTTCTTTCTCTCTCTCTCTCCCTCTCCCTTCCTCCCTGAAGTCAATACAAATATACTTAAAGAACAAAAGCAAGGAAAGGGTGGCTGTGGGCTTGGCCAGGCTGGTGTTGGGGGTTATTGTTATGGTGAAGGTGAATCCTGGTTCCTTCCCAGGAAAGGTCACCCCGGGGGGCCACGGCCTCAGCCTCGTCGGGGTTCACACGGGTCCCCCTCCGCCTTCTCCTCAGGGGCCGCGCTGGGGTCCTCTCTCATCCTCTGCGTCGGGGGGCTCATCTCGCAGGCCTTGGGCTGGCCCTTCATCTTCTACATCTTCGGTGAGTGAGTCGCGTCTCGTACCCCGGAGGCCGCCACGTCCCCGGCGTCCGGCCACCTTCCTCCCGGGACAGGCGGGCCTGTGTCACAGGGTAGGTGGTGGGATGGGAGGGAGGATGTCTCAGCTAGCCCAGGAGGGGACTGACCAGGCGTCGGCAGAAAGTGAGCAATGGCGTCGATGCTGGAGGGTCGGTAACGGGAGATCGTTAGCTAAGAGGAGATCTGTAGAGCTGGCCGGGTGGCTCAGTGGTTGCGCATCAGCCTACGAACCAGGAGGTCATGGCTGGATTCCCCATCCGAGCACAGGCCCCCGCTGAGGGCTCGATCCCTCCTGCAGGAGGCAGCCGACCCATGATTCTCTGTCGTCACTGATGCTTCTATCCCTCTCTCCCTCTCCCTGTTTCTGCAATCAATAAAACTATATTTATAAAAAATTTCAAACTCATTCATTCGTTTGAAAAAGGAGATCTGTACAAGAATTGATAGAGCCGTAACGGGTTTGGCTCAGTGGATAGAGCGCTGCCTGTGGACTGAAGGGTCCCGGGTTTGATTCCAGTCAAGGGGCCTTGGTTGCAGGCTCCATCCCCAGTGAGGGGCGTGCAGGAGGCAGCTGATGGATGTTCCCCTCTCTCTCTCCTCCCTTCGTCTCTCTAAAATCAATTTTAAAATATTAAATAAGAATTGACGTGAGGTGGGAGCGTTGAGGTCCTTGGAATGGAATAGCCATGAACTGGTGTGTGTGTGAACTGGTGTGTGCGTGTGCATGTGTGCGTGTGTGCGTGTTTGGGGGAAGCAATACCACGCCGGACAAACTCCCTCTCCAGCTCACAATCCCCCTGAGCACTAACTGGGTCGGGCTCCCCAGGCGGCGTGGGCTGCGTGTGCTGTCTGCTCTGGTTCACCGTGATTTACGACGACCCCATGCATCACCCGTGCATCAGCCTCCGTGAGCAGGAGCACATCGTGTCCTCGCTGGCTCAGCAGGTACCTGCGCCCCTCCCTCCATCCCCCCCCCCACCCTCACCCCCCCTGAGGTGATGGGCGGGGCTCCCAGCACCTGCGCCCCTCCCCCCATCCCCCCTCACCTCCCACCCCCCCAGAGGTGATGGGCGGGGCTCCCAGCACCTGCGCCCTCCCCGGGCCCGCAGAGGTGGGCGGCCGGGTGGGCGGGGGGCGCTCCCAGGAGGGCCTTCTGACTGTCCGAATGCCCACTGTGTCCTCAGCCCACGTCCCCGCGGCGCTCCGTCCCGCTCAAGGCCATGGCCCGCTGCCTGCCCCTGTGGGCCATCTTCTCGGGGTTCTTCAGCCACTTCTGGCTGTGCACCGTCCTCGTCACCTACCTGCCCACCTACGTCAGCTCCGTGCTGCGCGTCAGCATCAGGGAGGTGGGTGCTGCCGGCGGGGCGGGCGTGAGGAGGGCAGGAGGGTTAGCGCCGCGCTGCACGCACCCACCAACCGGGAGGTGACCGTGAGGGGCTCTGTAAGGACCCAGGAGACAGGCGTGGGGACCGGACACGCAGAGCTGAGAGGATGCCCTGCATCCCAGGGCTGCTCAGGGACAGGGCGCTCGGTCCGCGTCCCTAACCATCGGGCCACCCTGCCACACCTCATTCTTTTTGGGGGTGGGGGTGGGTTAGTTTTTTATTTATTTTTGTTTTGTTTACTTTTTTCCCCTCTCACGCCTCATTCCCTTTGTAAAATTTTTTATTTTTTAATATATTTTTTTATTGGTTTCAGAGAGGAAGGGAGAGGGAAAGATAGAAACATCAGTGATGAGAGAGAATCATTGGTCAGCTGCCTCCTGCTCGCCGCCACCGGGGACTGAGCCCACAACCCAGGCCTGTCCCCTTGACCGGAATCAAACCCGGGACCCTTCAGTCTGCAGGCCAATGCTCTATGCACTGAGCCAAACCGGCTAAGGCTCACACCTCATTCTTTTTTCTTTCTTTTTTTTTTAATATATTTTATTGATTTTTTTTTACAGAGAGGAAGAGAGAGGAATAGAGAGTTAGAAACATCGATGAGAGAGAATCATCAATCAGCTGCCTCTTGCACCCCCCCCACTGGGGATGTGCCCACAGCCAAAGTACATGCCCTTGACCGGAATCGAACCAGGGATCTCTCAGTCCACAGGCCGACGCTCTATCCGCTGAACCAAACCGGTTTCGGCCACACCTCATTATTAATTCCTCAAGTTCTCTTAGGAATTTGTACGGAATTGGTACTGTTTGCCCTAACCGGTTTGCCTCAGTGGCTAGAGCGTCAGCCTGAGGACCACAGGGTCCCGGCTTCCAACCCCGTCAAGGGCACGTCCCTCGGCTGCAGGCTCTTCCCCAGCCCGGGCCTTGGTCGGAGGCGTGTGCAGGAGGCAGCCCATCGATGTGTCTCTCGCACATTGACGTTCCTCTCTGTCTCCCCCTCTCTCTCCCGCTCTCCCTAAGAATCAATCCGTGGGAAAACATCCTTGGGGGAGGCAGGTGCCCGGCCTCTAACCTGAGACAGGGACCCTCGCTCCCCTAAAACGGCTCAGGGTCCGGAGGGGCCGTGGGACGTGGCTGCCCCGCGCCCTCTGCCTCACGGCCGGTCTCCTGCCCCCAGAGCGGGGTCCTGTCCTCCCTGCCCTTCGTGGCTGCCTCCACGTGCACGGTCCTGGCGGGCCAGCTGGCGGACTTCCTTCTGTCCAGGAACCTCCTGAGGCTCGTCACGGTCCGGAAGCTCTTCTCGGCCCTGGGTAAGGGCGGGGCCCGGGCTCGGGGGACCCACCCACCCCGGCTCTGCCTCGGGTCTGGGCAGGTCCTGACCGTCCTCCCGCCAGGCCTCCTGCTCCCGTCGCTCTGCGCCCTGGCCCTGCCCTTCGTGGCTTCCAGTTACGTGACCACCGTGGCTCTGCTGATCCTCATTCCCGGGACCAGCAACCTGTGCGACGTGGGGTTCATCATCAACACCCTGGACGTGGCCCCCAGGTGAGCGCCGGCCTGCAGATTCCCGCCTCGGGCCCCTCGCTGAGGGCGCAGGCCTCCGTGGGCCTCTGCCCTGTCCGGAGGCGGCTGTTTGTTTGTTTGTTTGTTTGTTTTTAAACTATGTTTTCATTGATTACTTTTCAGAGAGAGAGGGAGAGAGAGAGAAACATTGATGAGAGAGGAATACCTTGGGTTGGCCGCCTCCTGCCCGACCCCTATCAGGGATCCAGACGAAAACCTGGGCGTGCGTTCTGACCGGGAATCGAACCCTGACCTCCTGGTTCATCGTTGGATGCTCAACCACTGAGCCACGCCGGCCGGGCAGAGGCAGTTTTATTTTTATTTATTTTTTAAATATTGTTCTTGATTTCAGAAAGGAAGGGGGAGGGAGAGAGAGAGAGAGAAACATTAAAGATGAGAGAGAATCATGGACCGGCTGCCTCCTTCACTGGGGATGGAGCCTGCAACCTGGGCCTGGGCCCTGACCGGGGATCGAACGGTGACCTCCTGGTTCCTAGGTCGATGCTCAGCACTGAGCCCCGCCAGCCGGGCCTGGGGCGTCTCATGTACCCCCACACCCGGCCCTCACGGCGCCATGACCTTCTTGGGGCACAGAAGGTCAGGTGACGTGCCTGACGCCAGACCAAGGCAGAGCCAGGTCTAAACCCAGGCGTTCTGTTCGGAGCCGGTTGTCTGGCCCACAGGGGACAGCGTGGCTCCCTGGTTCTGGTTCTGGACTCGGCGGCGGTGGCGGCAGGGCCCGCACAGGTCTATGTGGCCCCAGATGTCTCGGGGCGAGTGAGACACGGCCCCCTCCGAGCTGAGCAGCAGGAAAGCCGTCTTTCTGCCCCAGGAGCGCTGGCGGGGAGCAGGCGGCTTTCGGCGAGCCTGTGCCATCTCTCCGCAGGTACGCCAGCTTCCTCATGGGCATCTCCCGGGGATTCGGGCTGCTGGCGGGCATCATCTCCTCCACGGCCACCGGCTTCCTCATCAGCCAGGTGGGCAGCGGGCTGAGCAGGCGTGCTGTTTGGGGCCTGGCTGCGCACAGTAGGGCCTCTGCGCCCCGGGCCTGTGCGGTCTGAGGGCGAGGCGGGCACGGATGCTGGCACGCAGCTCTGCTCCGAGCAGGACCCTCCATGGGCCCCGAGAGCTCAGGTCTGGGGCGGGGGGTAGAGGGAGGAGTAAGAGACAAATTTCTAAAAATGAACCATGTTGGGTGGATGGAAAGAGCGGTTCAGGGTGAGTTCCCAGAGATGCAAACGCCGGTGGGGGTTCTCGGTGATGCCAGAGGGAAGGCAGGTTTCCTTTTCTTTTATTTTTAAAAAAATATATATTTTATTGTTTTTTTTTTACAGAGAAGAAGGGGGATAGATAGAGTCAGAAACATCAGATGAGAGAGAAACATTGACCAGCTGCCTCCAGCACACCCCCTACTGGGGATGTGCCCGCAGTCAAGGTACATGCCCTTGACCGGAATCGAACCTGGGACCCTTCAGACCGCAGGCCGACGCTCTATCCACTGAGCCAAACCGGTTTCGGCCAGAGGATGAAATCTTAATGATGTCATCTTAAGCATAATTTTCTGTGCGGAACAGGATATAGGCTCATGACTGTTGAGATCCCAAATCCAGAAAAACACTAGCGTGGGTGAATTATAATAGTTCCGGTTTAAGGAAAAATGGAGTCGGTTTCCTTCCACGTTTCAGGAAGCCACCGCCAGGCACGCCCTGTGCTCTCTGGAGGGCTTCCGGTCCCCGAGGGGAGGGTATCCCGAGCGACAGCCCGGCTTTCTCTCGCAGGACCCGGCGTCCGGATGGCGGAACGTCTTCTTCCTGGCTGCCGCCGTTAACGTGCTGGGCCTGGCGTTCTACCTCACGTTCGGGCGGGCGGAGATCCAGGACTGGGCCAAGGAGAGGGCCCTCACGCGCCTCTGAGGGCCCGGGCCGCCGCCGCCGCCGCCAACACAGGCCGCCGGCCGCCCGCTTCTCGGCGCCCTCTCACTCGTCTGCACTCTGCATGTCCTTTGCGGCGACGCCGGAGGCCACACCTCCGAGTGGGAGCCAGGTTTTCCCGGAGCCTCTGCTGTGGCTCCCGAGAGCCCGAACGCATGGGAAGGGGGGGAGTGGAGAGAATGCACCCCGACATCAGTGAATCTTCGACACTCCCCGAGGGCTCCCCCTCCCAGCCAGGCCGACAAAGCTGGACACGCCGATTCCCGTGCCTTTGTTTTTTACTTTTTGTAATTTTTTTATTATTATTATTGATTTCAGAGAGGAAGGGAGAAGGAGGGAGAGAAACATCAGTGATGAGAGAGAATCATGGACCGGCTGTCTCCTGCACGCCCCCCACGGGGGATGGAGCCCACCACCCGGGCCTGTGCTCTGACGGGGAATCGAACCGTGGCCGCCTGGTTCCTAGGTGGACGCTCACCCCCGGAGCTGCGGGCGGGCCATCCTCGTTGCCGCTGAGCCCCGCTCGGTGGGAAGTGCCGGGAGAACAGGAGTCTCTGTGGGAATAATGACCGGCGAGTACGTCCAGGGGTGAGGTCTGCCGGGACCCGTGCCCATGTCACAGCCGCACCCCGGGCAGCACGTGAGCCCACAGCCCCAGCAGGAGCGGCCTGTGTGCTTACGGACTGTGGAACCTGGGGCTCACGTCCGTGAACACTCAGACGCCGAAATGAAAGAGACCGGGTTCCAGTTCCGCGGGCCTCTTCCCTCCAGGCGGCACAGGCGTTCCTCCTCCCGGCAGCACCCGGGGATCCAGACCCGGAGAAGATGACCCGGCGGAGCTTAGCGGGCGTCGGAGGCGAGAGGAGGCGGAGCCGGAGCCGGGAAGCTGGAGCCTGCGAGAGGGAAGGAAGGAAGGAGGCGAAGGGGGTCTTTCCGGAATGGAGTCAGTGAGGCTCTGAGGCAGGTGCAGCGGACACCACTGTGGACGCCGCTGGCGTTTGACCTCCGAGCCCATACGGGGGGCTGCGGGCCCTCGGGGTGGCCCCCCGAGTGCGGAGGCCTCGCAGAGAAACGGCCAGGAGCCAAGGACACCTGGCCCTGACGCCCGCCTTCCTCCAGGCACAGCGGCTCCGTCAGGACACGGTGGTCACGTGGCCTCAGACTGCAGACGAGGGCTCGCAAGCCTAATGAACGAAACGCTTTCAAAACTCAACGGGGCCCTGGCTGGTGTGGCTCCGCGGACAGAGCGTCGGCCTGCGGACTGAAGGGTCCCAGGTTCCATTCCCGGTCAAGGCACAGGCCCGGGTTGGGGGCTGGATCCCCAGTGGGGGGCGTACAGGGGGCAGCTGATCAGTGATTCTCTCATCGTTGATGTTTCTCTCTCTCTTTCTCTCTCTCTCCTCCTCCCTGAAATAAATAAAATATATTAAAAAACAAAAACCCACAACGGGCCACAGAACACCCAGAGCTGGGGCGCCCCAAGGCGAGCAGAGGATGTGCCGGGAGGGGTCTGAGCTCACCTCCCCCCATCCTGCAGGCGGCCCCGAGTCTCCCCTAAAACCGGCGCGGCCCCAGCTGAGGAGCTGATCACCGGCTCTGATTAAACCAACACAGCAGCGACCCCGGGAAGAGCCTGCTCGCCGTGCGCCAGCCTGGCCTTCCCAGAGGCGCCGGGACTCTGCGCCCGGACTCTGCGCCCGGACCCCCACAGCCAGGCCTCCTGGTTCCCCGGTGACCCTGGTGCCGGAAGGGACCCTGGCCCCTGCCAAGCTTGGCGGGCTCTCCTGTTGACGTTACCACGGAAACTCCCTTCTCTGGGCCTGGGCCTTCCCCCTCCCCTCACGGACTGTTTTCCGGGATCAGTCTGGGCACCTGGCTGCTGAGCCAGCGGCAGGGTCACGGCCCCGCGGTCCCTCCCGTGGGGAGGCCTTCCCAGCACGCCCCTCCCGCTCCCGCTAGGATTTCACTCGTCCCGCTGCCCTGGGTTCTGTTGGCTCCCACAAACCCCTCCTTTTCCCGGACGTGCACCTCCCTCGTTGTCGCCCTCCCATCTCAGCCTTAACTCCCCCACCCCCGGGCCTCCCCGCAGGTCCCGGCGCCCAGGCCCTGACGCCCCGGCCGGCCCAGTCTCCCGGGCGCAGCCTCTGGGTCCGTCTTCCCCACCTGGAGACTCCGACGCAAACACTCCCACCCCAGGCGGCCGTGAAAACCTCCCAGGCAGTGAGCTGTCCGCCCTACACCGTCCTGTTTATCTTATCTTATTTCTAAACTAGAAGCCCAGTGCATGAAATTCATGCACAGGGGAGGGGGGTGTCCCTCAGCCCAGCCTGCACCCTCTCCAATCTGGGACCCCTCGAGGGATGTCCGACTGCCCGTTTAGGCCCAATCCCACCAGGCAGTCAGACATCCCTCTCACAATCTGGGACTGCTGGCTCCCAACTACTCACCAGCCTGCCTTTCTGATTGCCCCTAACCGCTTCTGCCTGCCAGCCTGATCACCCCCTAACCACTCCCCTGCCAGCCTGATTGATGCCTCACTGCTCCCTTGCCAGCCCGATTGCCCCTAACTTCCCTCCCCTGCCAGCCTCATCACCCCTAACTGCTTTTCCCTGATAGTCTGGTGCCCCCCAACTTCTCCCCGCTGCAGGCATAGGTCCCCCCAAACTTCCCTCCCCTGCAGGCCTGGTCCCCTTCAACTGCCCTCCCCTGCAGGCCTGGGTCCCCCTATCTACCCTCCCCTGCTGGCCATCTTGTGGTGGCTATCTTGTGTTCATATGGGAGCAGCCATCTTTGACCACATGGGGGCAGCCATCTTGTGTGTTAGAGTGATGGTCATTTGCATATCACTCTTTTATTGGATTGGAAATATTGTTATTGATGACAGAGAAGAAGGGAGAAAGAGAGGGAGTAGCATCAATGATGAGAAAGAATCATGGATCAGCTGCCTCCCTGCACGCCCCCTCCTGGGGATGGAGTCTGTACCCCGGGGAATGTGTTCTGACCGGAAATCAAACTATGACCTCCGGGTTCATAGGTCGATGCTCAGTCAACCCCGGAGCCAGGCCGGCTGGGCCATGGGATGGTGGTAAGGCCCACATTCCTCCCCTGAAGATTGAGGCAAAGGTGAACGTGAAGTTAAAAATTAAGTTTTTAACTTTGGCATCCTGAGGTCAGAGGACTGGGGGGAAGGGGTTGCAGGGCTGACGGAGTGCGTCCAGGCGGGCGATCTTGCGTCAAGCGGGAGGAAGCCCTCACGGGAGGGAGGCGCCCTCCCGTCCCGAGCCCGGCCTGTCTTCCTCCCCCTCCGGCCGCTCATGGAGTGAGCCGAGCAGCAGCGAGGGCCTGCCCGTCACAGACCCAGCAAAGGTACCTCCAGTCCATCGGGGCCGGCTGCTGGGAAAATCTATTTTCACAGGTTTTCACACGGGAGAGAGGAAAGAGCGCGCATCAGGGACGCGTGTGCAGTGGGTGGCTCTGTGGCTAGACAGGGAAAGAGAATGTATGTGTGGCAGAGGGGGGGTGAGGTGAGCATTGTGCTGGGTAAGAGTATGGATCCGTGTGTCCGTGATGTGTGTGTGGGGAGTGTATGTGTGTGCGTGTGTGGGTATGGACTATGTGCATATATGTCTATGCATGTGGATGGTATGTGGGGGGGAGTGTGTGTGTGTGCATGTGTGTGCATGTGTGCATGTGGAGTATAAGTGGGGGGAGTGTGTGTGTGTGTGTGTGTGTGTGATTAGAAATAAACAGCAGCCCCAGAAGGCGTCCCATGTGTGGTGATGGTGGCTGAGCTGTTCACGTACAAACACCTGCAGAGCTGATCTCAGGGACTATGTGTGTCTTCTGAGCGTCTGCTGTCACATGAGCTGAGGTGGTCAAAGCCTAAGGTGCAGACCAGTGTGTGAGCAGCCAGGTGGGTCCTGGACTCGGTGAGGGGTTGAATCACCACTCAGCTAGGCTCCCGGCCTCCCCTCCTCGCCACTCCCCGCCCCCTGTCTCCCGCTCCCCGCCCAGCAAATGCAGGCCTGGGCCAGCGCCCGCCAGGTTCAGGATCGGGTGCAGAATGAGGTGGCTCGCCTGGTGCGGCGACGTCACAAGGAGCGCTCACAGCTCTGCTCACGCCTCAGGAAAGGAAGGCATTTCCCTTCCCGCTGTTTCTCCCCAGTGGTCCTCCTTCCTCGGACGCATCTGGCTCCTGGCCTCAGCCAGTCCTTCTGCCTAGAACGCCCCGAGGCTCCCTACGCTCCCTAATGAGGTCCTCGCTCCTGGCGGTCTGATAAGGTCTTCACATCTCTTACTTCTGAGGGACATTCTCACCGGATATAAAACCACGGATTGCCGAAACCGGTGTGGTCCATGGCCTGTGGACTAGAAGGTCCCGGGTTCGATTCCGGTCAAGGGCATGTACCTTGGTTGCGGGCACATCCCCATAGGGTGTGTGTGCAAGAGGCAGCTGGTCGATGTTTCTCTCTCATCGATGTTTCTAACTCTATCCCTCTCCCTTCCTCTCTGTAAAATATATATATATATATATATATATATATATATATATATATATATATATAAAATAAAATAAACAAATAAAACCACGGATTAGCAGGGCTTTCGGGTTGCCGTCGGCAGCATTCAGGTTTCCTGTAATCAACAACAACAACAAAACCCATAGAAATGCAGCGTCAAGGGCGGCACAGGATGGAACTGCGTGGGCACCGGCGTGACAGCGTCGTTTAGACCAGAGGAGCCTGGGGGGGAGGGGGGGCGGCTCCTCCCCCATGTCCTGCTGAATCAACGCGCCTTGAACTTGCAGAGGACGGAGAGCAGACCCTCCAGGGAGAGGCTCAGGAGCCCGCCCGCCGTGAGGCAGATGGACGACCGGTCCCAGTCCGGGAGAGGTAGACTCGGCCCCTGCCCCCTCCCACGGGCTCTCTCCTTCACCCCAGGGTCCAGGCGAGAGGACGCTTCCCTCCGAGCCCATGATGGGT